GGAGATAGGAGTATCTGCATGTAATGCTAGTTCCCATGCCGGTGAAATAAAACCACAAAACCGTTAGTTACGCTTTATTGTACACATGTTTACTACGTAACTATTAAGAAATGCACTCTAATTTATTTGTGTATTTAAATATGTATATAAATATGTATGAGTAATAATATGCATATTTACTTTCGAATGCAAAAACAAAAAAATAGATCGACAAGTAATATAGAATTCTATTGACACAATTCTCATCAATGTCTATAGCTATTATAGCAGGTATATATATATTATATATATATATATATATATATATATATATATATTTATAGTACTGGCCCAACTGAGTAGAAAGATATTGAATGATTCTAAAAATAGCATAAGCAATTTGAAAACGTAAGAGAGACTAAAATCACATGGAACCAAAAATTACAAACTAACATAATTTATTCTAAGATATAAAGATGAAAGCTAAATATCAAGGTCTTTGCAAAAATTTACTATAAAAACGTTGCGATTGCAATCAGTCTATGTTATCTTTTATAATCCCATTCTGTTTGTATCCACTTTTACTACTACATATGTACATAAATTGCAGTTTTATCAGTGGACAAGACGATATCTTGCTTACTTTTCTCGATAATGTAACCGGTTAGATGGAAATCGGAACAATCGCAATATAGCGGACAAAGGAAACAACTTGAATTATGTTAAGCTAACGATTCCAATTTATTTTAAATAAGTGTGGTTAGATATTAAATCTTATACATAAATGGTATGGAATAAAACTTAGCCGAAGGAACGAAGATCCTTAGATTCGGTTTAGAGCGACTAGTGAAGGAGGTGAGTCGATTTCAAAAAGTTTTGGCTTAAAGTTCGGGTGATTCATTTCGTTTGCTCCATTGCTCTAAAATATTGTATGGTGAGTTATTGAGCGTTATATAGAAGTTAAAACATAGCGAATGGGTGGAAAATATCATATTGCGCATATGGGGGTTTAATGTATTGTATATGCAATTTCAAAAACTATGACACCAAATATTCTCACCGATGAGGTGATAAATGAGGTGTAACTTTGAAGGAAGTGGCGATAATCTTTTAATGTTATGATGAGAAAGTAAGGAACAAATATCAGTCGTTTTTGGTATTAAATGAGAGTAGGCTACATCACATGTGGCTAAAAGAAAATATGAAGTAATTTTTTAAATTTTTAGGATTACCGTAGTCTTATTTTTACACAATTTCTTTTCGATCTCTTAAATTTTTTGTAAATTCAAAATAAAATTAAAGGAGTAGTTTTAGTAGTCCAATCGTAACTTTTTACAAACCATGCTAAGGTTGAAATTACGACATTTTCAAATCATTTTAAGCGACTTTCTTTCGAATGTTCAATACAAAATTCAATAATGTTCAAATTAAAGTGACTAGTCTATGAGACAGTTCTTGGTGCCTGGCTATAGCGGAATCATAGGAAATTGTAAAGATTGCAAGAAAAGGCACCCATACTAAAACTCCATCAGGATGGGAGCCGTCTGATATGCGTCCTAAGTGAACAGTGTCCCATACCCATGCGATGAGGCTAAAGATTTTGGAGGATGCAACTTGTGAAAGTTGAAATGAGGAAGATGAGGTGGAAATGCCTACACACTTTCCTCTACATGGCAAAGCTTCGCCAGACTAACTTCTACGAACCCTGGCTGAAAGTGATATTAGCCGTGTCAACAAATTTTTGACAGACTCTAGGCGTTTTTCCGATATGCAAAGGTCTTTTTGATTCATACTTAGAAGTTCTGGGCATCACAACGGACAGGCGTCTGTAGCAGTCCAATTGGGATTATTCGTGGCTTCACGGGAAATCAGCCTATTTACCTAACTTAACGTATGTGACAGGAAGTTTCATCTGAAAGTGGGGGTTTTGAACTGATCCTTGACCCAACATGTGGTAATTTGTAGGGTTCTTCATATGAAAGTTATTACCAAATCTTTTAAACAAAGTTATTACAGAGATAAATGGTCTAAAACACAAATAAAATAATCAAGCCAAACTTTTTTCGGGCCTTTGTTGTTCTAAAGACAAATTCAAGTTTTTGTTTAATTTCATACACCAGAAGACATTTTGGGGGCTTACGGTAATTCCGATCCTAAACTTCATGACATCTCAGCGTTTCAACTTAAAGCTGCCTGGTGTATACACAGTATTTTCTAATAACTGCTATCCTTTGGTAGACTAAACACCCAATTACATTTTTTATACAAAATGCTTTTCATGACCTGACAGAGTGTATTAAATTTGTCACGAAGTTTGTAACACCCAGGGGGAAACGTCGGAGACCCTATAAAATATATGCACACATGATCAGCATGATCAGCTGAGTTCAGTTAGCCATGTCAGTCTGTATGTTCGTCAGTCACCAATTTTGAAAGTATCGAACTGAAATTTTACACTTTTAGACTTTTCTCCCCAAGAAATTGATCCAGTCCTTATATGGAAAACTTGCGTGTTTGACGAGATATCTTCACGAAATTTGGCATGGACTATTTTCCAAAACAACGGTACAATGCTTGCACAAATTGTTCAGATTGGACAACTATTGCATATAGCTGACATACAAACTGACGGATTAAAATTAAGTTATTTTATGGAAAATTTTGTACTTGTGAAGGGTATTCTAGATTCAGTGAAATTAACGCATTTTCTTGTTTTTTATTAGATGAGTTTTATATATGAATTTATAAAAACGCGTTCGTTTTTTATGACTTTAGAACTAATATATTCGCGTTTTTAATGTTCGGTAATTTGTTAGACCAAAGGCAAATCATTTTTTATCTTGACTATATTATTATTTGAATTTATGGAACAATAGTATTACTGCCAAATACAGCCGAGTGCACTCAGGGCGGACCACTATTACAAGAGACGTGATTTGAAGTTTTTGTCGAAGCAATATACCATACATTGCATACTATTACTAACTTTTCATACTGTACTTATTATTCCCCCTGCGGGTAGGGGTAAGAATTGATGTACCTTGCTCAGTAATATCAGCATAGTATGTCAGGAATAGTGCTATAATATTCAGCTTGAACTGATATTATAGACTTTAAATGAAAAAGCAAATAAAAAGACATTTGAAGTTCAAGCGACAAATGTCACCAGTCATTGAGTAATGGGTTGCTCAACTGGCAGTAGTTTCGGCTACGCAGTCTTACCGGAGACTTCTGGTACCACGGGGAGCAGAAAGCCCTTGGATTTCGGTCCAATCTGCTCATTGGGTTATGGCCCCTTTGGGGAGATTCGTGGTGCCTGTGGTTTAAACCTAAATGCTGGAAGAACTGAATTTCAGTTTGAAAAAAGAAGTTGAACAAGCAACTGGGTTCCGTACCCGAAAACGGAAGAGGTTTTAGGTCGGCCTCGAGTCCTACCAAAATGGTCGGTATGTCCCTACACACTGGCCACTGGTAACCAAATTAATACTTGCAAAAAGCTCGTATTATTTGGGGCGCTTATCAACGCATTGTTTTGATACGTTGTGCTTTGGAGCACCGTGAGGTAAGGCCGTCGACGGCAGGTACTCACGTAAAACACATCGGACGTTGTACTTATTATATCCAAATCCATTATTAATAAATTAAAACATTACTCTTCTCTCGTTTCTAGATACACGCTGACCCTAAGCATGTGGAAAGTAGTTTTGTTTTATATGAAAACACCACTTGTGGCTAAATAATAAATATGGCTTAAGAGGTTACATGGGTTTCACGGCTTCAAAAAAAAAATTATTATTTAATTCTATAACATTTCTAAAATCTTGTCTTAAATTCTCAATTTGATCAGTTTTGGAGACAAGACGGTGTCGAGTTGCGCGCTGGAGGTCAGCTATCAAAACAATTTTTCTTTTGTCCAATACCTAGTTATTAATTAAAACTATTCTTTTTTACTTTTGATGATCCTGTAAGAAGTTCTGCTGTAAACGAGGAGGCACCTTTTTTCCGAGGAAATGCCGGAAATGACGTTGTAATGGAAGAATTTTGAATATTTTCCTTTAAAAGTTTCACAAAATCTTTGTAAAATATGTATCTTTGGAATAATAAAAGTTTGAATAAAAATTTAATTTTTTATATGAAAACAATTATTGAAAATACGTCGCTTTTGCCAGATGAAACCCATGTAACCCCTTAAAATCTAAAAAATATGCTTTTAATGCACATTAAATAAAAAAGTTAAAAATAAAAAATAGCTTGAATAACACTTCAAACTAAAAAGTGAAAAATAATTCTTAATATAAGCTGACAGTAATATTGGTCGAAAAATACTTGTATTATTGTGAAAAAAGCGATGGGTGGGGTTTTTGCCATTTACGTATATCGAGCATACCCACTTTTCACACAATAATACTAGTCTTTTCCGGTCAATATTACTGTCAGTTTATATTTATAATTATTTTTCTTTTTTTAGTTTAAAGTGCTTTAAAAGCGTTTTTTTACCATATTTATTATTTTAAGTTTTATATTTATTTCCACGCTATTTCACTGAACAGCGTCTTTTCAGTCATTTGCTCTACTTGTCTACATTTCTTTTTGCTTTGGCTTTTTGTAATGCCAAATTGCGCTTGCCTTCATCAAGTCCAACACGCGACGGCATATTGGACCGTTACTATTGCTGTCTGGCGTTCTGTGTCTTCATTCGCTTTTATACTTTCTTATTTGTTGGGTTTTTTTTGGATCCCTTTTGATTTTTTGTTTACCTAACAACTTGTCATTTGCCATTAGAAAAGTTTGTCTATATTCATTGTATGTCTCTCAGTCTGTCAGTCTGTATGTCTCTCTGTTTGTCCATTCGTCGCTGCTGCCTTGGTTGGCCGGTCTCTTCAGCTGTCTTTCAGTTGCCTCATCATTTATTTGTAATTTGTGCATCCTTACGGCCAACTTACAGTTATATTTGTATGTATGTTTATACTTGCACATTTGTTTGTGTGTTTTTGTTTGTTTGTATGTATGCATTTACTTACATTATCCAAACTTTCGGCCGATGTGCTAGTGGCCTTGCTGCCTCTTATTAGCACCTCCTGATCCTCCTGACCCATTTTGAAGTTTGCTTTGCTGGTGTCCTCTTCTTGTTTTTTAAAATTTTTGTTCGATTTTACTTTTTTGTTGCAACTTTTTTCACTCGAATGTTTTCTCTTGTGCCTTTTTTGTGCTCTTTTTTCTATTTCAATTTTATTTCTACTTCTCTGCTCCCGCTGTCTGCTGCCTGCTGCCAAAAAGTCGTAATTTGTGCTAATACAACAATGCGAAGGCACTCAAAAAAAAAGTGAATAAATGAAGATAAGTAGTCAAAAGTAAGGAATTTTTACACTTTTCGTGAAAAACTATGCATTTTTTTCTGTCGTTCGGTTGGCGTTGTGTGTGTGTGTACGAGGGTTGGATATTGCTGCTAAATCAATTAATGGCAATTAACCGGAAGTTTGCATTCAAAACAAACTTTTAACGGTGCTTTTTTTGTGGGGATTATAGCATTTTTTCATTACACTTTGTAATTTTCCCTTTAAATTGGCGTAAAAAGTGCAATTTATTCACTCTTTTTTCAACTCATTTAATTTGTTTCACTAAATGTTTTGTTATTTCCAGCAAATGTTTTTTTAATTGTGTTTTCAATTCAATGTTTCAATTTCACTGTTTTATAAGAAAATCACTTCCGGCTCTTTGCTGCAGCTATGTCACGCTTGTGACGGTGACAGTGTCGCTGTCACTGCTCGAAAGAGTTCCCTAAATGCAAGCGTTATGGCGGTTATGAAAAGTCACGTTTCTCAGTGTCTTCGTTTTTTATGCAAATCGTTTCAGTTTCACTTAACTTCTTGCGGTTTCGGTGACTCTAATAATTTGAAGGCTTCGTTTCACACTGTTTTCAATATTTTAAATATTTATCTCGCACAAATACTTATTAACCCTTCAGCCGCAGTTCACTGACGCTTATAAATAGCTATCTAAGTTCATATGTTCGTCCTTCGCGCAGCCACAAATAACCTCCAAACTCATCTATATATAATCACACATATGTAGGTATATATATATGCGTCTAAAGCCTCACTCCGTTTTCTCCACAATTTATTTAACTTCACCAGTTTGCTTTTGCCACTTTGAATTCCACCAGGCGGTACTATGCACGCCCACTGACTGAATTAAACTGAGCATGCTCGTCAAGTTAACGCTAGTAAAGCCCTCGCCAGAGGTGCAGCGTTCGTTTGTCCAACGTTGTTGGAAAGATTAGCTCAAATGATGCTCAGCTTTTGTTTGTTGGGAGTTGAGCAAGGGAACTATTGCGGCTTCTAGTGCAAATCTTCGTACAAATGTTATTCACCTTATTCGTATTGTTGTCGCTGTTGTTGTTTTTGGGTCTCAACGTCAGTTGAGTGATAATTGCTAGCAATCGGATTGCTTGTAAGCGCGCTGCGTTTGCTTTTCTTATCTGAAATTCATTTAAATATGACAGATAAGTATGCCCTGTAGCCAAGGTAATGTGTTGATAGTATCATCTGATTTGTTAATCCGCCGCTCTGTCGGGGCATTAGCCGGTATGTAGCACCTCATGTGTCGGCAAAAAAATTAGTAGACGAATGTAGAACCAAAAAAATTATAATCCAGATAGATTATGCACTGTGTTTTTAACCCGCTTTTCAACTTAGTAAATAAAAAGCAACACATCTGAAGACATTCAAGTGAGTTTTCGTCTCGTAGATTTCATATTTACACACTCAAGACTTTACTTTCAGCATCTCGGATGTCTGTCTAATATAAGATTGTTGAATTTTAAAGACGCTCACATTCTTCTCTTGTAAAACATCCCTGATCAACGTTTAGCTATGTATTTCTGTAATATACCCAGTGGCGTAGCTACTTTGGGCGGCACCCGGTGCGGAAGTTGGTGGTGTCACCTCAAGGATAGTAAAAGCAATAAATTTTATATGATAAAGGACATGGATCATTTATTATTTATAATATTGAAGAAATAACAAAACACAATAAGACTAATTTTTTTATTAATTTTAATTTACTGCAACGTCTGCAAAGCATTAGTTTGTACGATCTTGAACAATTAAGCTACATCATGAAGAGATTTCGATCTTGTTTGGAGTTCAACTCTGAATCGGTCAAGATATTCCAACATATCTTTTTGAAGTTCCTCTTTCAGTTTAAGTGCGGCATCGCTGGCCATCTCAACAAACATCCACGAACAAATGAGAAATGGTGCAACTGAGACGTCAAAGATCGCGAGTATGGGACGGAGAATCCCCCATGACATCGTCAGGCTCTATTGCGGGAATCCCCGAATTATGCATAGAGCTGAGCTAGTACTGGTGGAGGAATCCCCGATGCGATAACTTTCTAAAAAAATGTGACAGAGATATTTAATCTAATAATAATCCAAAAAAATCTAATTTCGTTTTTAACATTTTAAAATATTATTTTTCAAGATTTATGTCGACACCGATTGATATTTGACATTTAGCGACCCAAACCGAGTCGAAATGGAACTAGGAACACTTTGGTATTTACGCTCCACTACATTCACACACTCATGCGATATTTCAGCGGTGATATTCCTTTATTCCTGTCATGCCTGTGCTGTTCAAATCCAAGTATGCATGCGATATTATTTTAGCTTTCAATATACTTGTTGGTATGAAGTTATTGTTGTTAGGCAATCGCTTGGCGTTTATATGATTTATGACCGTCGTTGTCCGCTGACCATTACGGTGAATTATTGCGTCCTGCACGGAGCAGAATTACGCTGCTGGTGCCGCCGTTGCTGCCCCATCGATACACAATTTATCAATCATTGGTGTTGTAGACAGAACAATAAAACAACAACAAATATCGAGAATAGTAAACACTCGTACAAGAAGTGGGTAAAAAATATATACAACAGTACATAGAAGTCGTATCGCTGAAAATTTCCGGAGAATTTGGCAAAAATCTAAAAATCAAGTTGGCACTTGAAATGGGTGGGTTATACGAGTATGCTGGTATTAAGGTCTTGACAGTGGTAAAATTAAAAAAAAATTCTGCCTGTGTACAAATTAAATATTTATTTAAAATATAATTACATTATTAGTTTTAACAAAATTTCAAAAATATGTCAAAACAGGGTTGCAACCTATTTATAAATTGAAATAAATACGCGTTTCGAATTTAATTAAATATTGAAATATAGAAATGATACGAAATCCAATTATAAAAACTTTGCACCAATAACTTAAGTTTATTGAGAACAAGAAAAAACGTTAACTTCGGTTGCACGGAAGCTAGAACACCCTTCACAAAAAAAAAGTTTGAATGGCAGCTATATACTATAATCGTCCGATTTAAAAAAATTGTTCAGATATTATAGTAATGCTTTGGATAATAATACGTGCCTTGAAGATATCTTTTTAGATAATAAAGTTTTCCATACAAAAACAAACAAATTTACAGTTCTTAGAGGAGACTAGTTCCCGTATATAAACAACTCAGATCGTCACGCTGATCATTTATATATATATGTATATAGGTATATATTTTATACGGTTAACGTCGTTTCCTTTTGGGTGTTACCGTGGCAAACTGAATATACCTTGTTCAGAGTATAATTATTACTTGGAACTGAATATTTCCGGGCAGACATCCATATTTTATTATATCCCTTCACTATAGAATTTTGTACACCCGGAAAGTTTTTTTTAAGATTAATAAAGTTTATTCATTTCACAATGGTATGTTGAACTTTTCACAGTTCTTGAATAGAATGTGAGTGGTTCGAGTTCGGTGCTCTACCCCTTCTTGAGACACTTTCTCGTCTTCAGATATGCTCGGTTATTGTTTGAAGGCTTTGATTTTTAAAAATTATAAAAAAAAATCAAATAATGTAAAGGCCGAATAATACATTTGGAGAGTTGTGATTTTGAAAATTTATTTAATGATCTTATGGCTCAAAGCCAATTATTGGAAAAGGAGTTATTTCTATAAGGTATTCATCTTGAAAAAACAAAAAAAATAAGTATTCAACTTCTCATTAATATCTTTTAATATCGTGTCCTTTTAGAATAATAAAATTGAAGTCTTCAATATTTTACCCCGATAATTTCGAACTCTGGACTTTTGTGACCCCTAAATGCTGGATACGAAAATCTGTGACACTAAACTTATTTTAATCATTTTAGAGAGCGTCGACTCACTGTGCTCTATGCCATTTTCTATTTAACAACCGTAACTTGGTTTTATTGTTGTAACTGTTACTGTGATATATGACTGTTTGCACTTTCCGCAACAGTGCACGCACACCCGCGCAACACTTACACATCAAGCTTCGCTCGTAAATGTAGTATGTGTAAATTTATTCATATATAGTATATGGTCCCAGTATCGTACGAGTTAATTGCCGTTCATTCGCGCATTAGCACCCAATGGATGTTGATTTGAGTTTCGAAAAAATAAGGATATTGCAATTTATGAAAAAGCAAATGTCGCCATATTTGCTGGACTTGTTAAATATTTTTTAGGGTTTCTTTGTTCAATATATGTTGCGCTAGCTGTGTTTGCATGTAACAGTGTTGCCAGCTGTATAAAAACTGCAATATAAATACTTTTTGTGCACATTCATCATTTTTGGCAGTGCGATTTGACAGTTGTAAATGTAACGAAAGCAACTTTGTTGGGAATGGAAAAAATTGCTTTGATTATAAAGTAAGGGAAGCTAATGTACAATTGTCCTAACTGAATTTTTAGTGTTGGACATTAATTCCTTCTGCTTGTTTTAACATAATGTTTTATTAAATAAATTTGGCCATCATTCACTTTATTTCGTGGTTTTAAACCTTAATAATTAACGATATTTTTTAACTATGTATATGATTGAGTTAGGTGGTAGGGTTGATCCAAAATCAATGGAGATATCGTCACGAAACTTGGTTCATGTATTCTTTGGCAAAAAGGTGAGGACGAGTTCGTAAATGGCCGTAATCGGACTACTGCCACGCCCACAAAATTACATTTATTGGAAACCTATAAAGTGCCATAACTAGGCACTAAAATAATATATAAAAGTGTAATTTGGGCGTGGCCCCGCCCTCTAATATATTTAAGGTTATTATATACCTTCTTTCAAACCGTCCAAGCTAAAATAACTAAATTCGCTCAGGAGAAATCTCTTAAGCACTCCTGCCCACACTGTAAAAACGGATGAAATCTGATGATAGCCCCGCCCACTCCCCATACAGCGGTACTGTTAAAAACTACTTAAAACGCGATAAAGCAATGACTAAATACACCAGAGACATGAAATTTTACCCAATGATGATGGAATGAAAGAGCTTTATAGGAGTCGGACTTCCTTTTTATTTCCAAACTTAAAAAAGAAACTTTCGGGGCTATTTTTAGAGACTTCGAGAACACATATTCAGAGGTTTAAAAAAGTTGGAGCATCGCTGGATCAAGCTTATCGAGTATAAAGGAGACTATGTTGAGAGATAAATCGTCATTATTTCAAATATTTCGTTTTCTTTTGGTTTACTGATCGTCCTTGTACAAGAAGACAAGTTTCTACAACGGATTTTTGCAATCTCGATTCTAAAAGCGAGAAGTTTAAAAAATTAAAAAGCGTTGATTAATACTTAGTGGTTTGTTCTATATTTTCCATATAATATCATCTCACTATCTCAATGCTAGCGATTTCCTACTAAGCAACATTTCAGTGAATATCTGAATACTAAAAATATAAAATAACTAAAGACAACATTCTTGCATTTCTATGTAAATATATTGACTGTACTAAAACAATACTGCTAGCATAAAGACTGCTTTAAAGTGAAATAGAGGTAAAAATGCAAACAATTCAAAGTTAGCTGTGAGTCAGCTTTATGCGGCGCACTTAAAGGGCTTCCCCAATTGAGTGTCTAAGCGTTAGTTACTGACAATTGAGTTGTTAAAGTGAGTATATTTACGGTTTTTCCGAGAATTTTCAATAGAAAGTTGCACTACAACTGCAACGGTAGTAAAAAGTGGAGACTAAAATAAATGTATTTTTAAGAGACACACTCACTTCCACGCACAGTTGCATATATAACCTTTGAAATAACTACTCTATTACTGTCAGTTGCAGTAATAAAAATGCTTGCTAACAAAATGTGTAGTTAAAATTCATAAAAACGTCTATGGTGTATGTATGTATGAAGTATTCTTATACATATGTGTATTTTTACTTAGACTAATGTGTTTGAATGTATATGCGCGGTTGCT